TATTTTCATCAGCTTCTCCAGGCTTAGCAGAGACGTTTCATTGAACGCGTAATATCAGAAGGCGAGGACTGAGTTGACCAGACTCACTATAGGTTTTAGGAAACACATAGTTTACTTGAGCCAGTCCAATTCAGGACTGTCATATCTCGTATCTGGTCTACAGTATAAAAAGTTCGGTCTTCGTGAGGGATTAAATCAAAGAGAAATTATAATTACACACACTGAACATTTATAAATTCATATCATACATATAGTCATGCAATATATATATATATATATATATATATATATATATATATATATACACGGCTTCTGTGGATTCGTTGTATTTTTACAAGGCCCCGGGGAGGGGTAGGGGTTGCAGCTACGGGCTCCAAAACTGCCTGTCCTCTTCTTTTCAGCATTCGGCCGGTCACGCCATTAAACAACTCAAAAAGGAGATGAAAGAACAGTGGCCGTGTTTAATTGGAACAATTTAATCTCTAAGAGGAAGAACACATAGAAAGTCGAGTCCTATTCAACAACTTCCTAGGGTTATTCCCATATGTTTTCACCAGAACAAGCCACCTAACCGGCTCAGCGACAACACCAGTGGCTCTTATTTGTATAGTGGCCGATTCGAATTTCGGCCCCAACACCGGTTATCCGGAATGAGGTATCTTGGTGTTTTTCCTCAGTCCCTTCAGGCAAATGCCGGGATAGTGACTCTAATTTGTCCACGATCGTTTCCTTCCATATTCACATGAACTCGTGCTATCATTGGATACTGCGTAGTTAACATCGATGTTAAAGTTCAGTGTCCATAAAGTCGTTACCTAGTTCATTAAAATAGCAGTAACTTCTTCACAGCGATAAGAACGTGTTGCAGTCATAGCACTTCAAATCCAAGAGAGAAATTAACAGAAAATTTTGGAAGAAAATTTCACAGACAATATTGCGTTTCCGTCCTTCACTACGCAACAGTTCAATGATTTCACACCGCTACTCTGCATTTGTGTGCATTACACTGGTTGCATCATTATGCGGACATTCATCAGGTACACCCAAACAGTACGCAAGCTGGTGCAGTGTCCATACTCAAGCTAGTTGGTAGCAGGTTTGAAATTGCTAGATTTCCTTTAAATTATATGGTGGGATTAAGTTAAAATTGTAATTAAAATAATACGAAGAATGCCGTCTTCTGGGATGTGGCGCCCTGTGGATCTTGTCTGAACCAACGTTTCGGAGGAACGTATCGCCTCCATCTTCATGGTAAACAAATCCGCGTGCTAGGAACCAGCACGAACAGGTGGCTGCTAACTGCTGGTTCCTCGAGCGCTGACGATGGAGGCGATATGTTCCTCCGAAACGTCGGTTCACACAAGATCTACACGGTGCCACATCCCAGAAGACGGCATTCTTCAAAGTCACCGCCGTAAAAACATCAGATCTTACAAATTACTATGAAATTGCAATATGTTGCTGCTCAAATCTTTGGTGTGATGGTGTTTTTTATTGTTGTTAAGTACATCTGATCTTCTTTGAAGGATGGGTACGGACTGTCTCATGAGGATCAGAACACATCCTATCAACGTAGCGCCAGCATGTGTTTGACAAGATGTTTCTTATGGATAATTCCACAGTCCTGAACTTGCCAACGAATAAGGACGTGATCTTCAAAATAACACAATGGGTAGGGACTATTGACTCCCGTGGAATTTGCTGATTAGCCGTAATTCGTGAACCACTGGTTGCCGAATACTGGCGTTCATTATTTGTTCGCTCTAGATCTGCAAAACTACTCTTCTACCCTGAAAGTGGAGGTAGTACATTCCTCCGAAAGTTCAGTTAATTTCTACCAGGCTGCTATCTCAGAAGAGAACAATCTTACGTTAAGTGCAGTGTATTCAAATGTGCAGGTGGTAACTTGCGGACATCTCCACCTCCGTTAAGCGTTACAAAATAATTCTGTTTGTTTCTTCGTGTGAGTTGTCGATTTCTGATCTTTGACTCCAGCTTTCTGTCCGAAGTCTAAGAGAGGATTCAGTAAGACCCGTTTGCAAGTTTCGAGTGTACGAGTATTCTACTCGGCCCGTCTGCATATCGAATAATTCCGGCCTTGTCAGTTGGAGTCGATTTGCTCTGACTGCTGACATGGGGGGGGGGACTTGACTGACGTTATTGTGTGTGGATCAGCAGGCGGTCCGCAATAACGAATTATGTCCCTGCAACAGGGAACTAAAGTAGCTACTTCTTAGCCAACGCTGCACTAACGGACCAGATTTTTTTTTCAGGCCGTTCGGTAGTTGAGGTAACCGGAGGGGTAGAAAATATACACAGGCTGTTGGGTAGTGGATGTAAGCGGAGGGGTAGAAAATATACACAAATGAGAGCTTAATAATTGGCACTCTTTATATTGTTACGTGACCAATAATAACGTATTCAGGACCGGATACGTGTCCATCTTTTTGTGCGAATTGTTCTGTCCATCATATTTTCACCTAATCGCCAACCGACATTTTAGTAAAATAAAATTGTCTTTTATTAACATATTCCCGTTAAACATGTAATTCCTTTTGCTGAAATATTGCAGATAAATGTAATAAATAGCTTGAACCGTCAAGAGAAAATGAAAGAGGTTTAATGTAGCCGGAATAGGTCAGTCGGTATAGCGAATGGCTACGGGCTGGATGACCGAGGGGTCGGAGTTCGAGTCCCGGCAGGGTCAAGAATTATCTACTTTTCACATGGTCCAGACCGACTCTGGGGTCCACCCAACCTCCTATCCAATGGGTACCGGGGCACTTTCCCCGGGGTAAAGCGGCTGGAGCGTGAAGCTGACCATTCAACTCCAGCTAGTAGCGAAGTCAAGAAAACGTGGATCTACATATCCACTCCCCCACAGGCCTTAATGGCCTTTACCTTTACTTTAATGGGATCGATGGTGTCAAGCACCCTATAAAATTCCCTTAGAAGGGTCGGGATTTCTGCTCGAAAGAGTTTGTTTCTAAATTGGAAAGGATTAAACGTAATCAAGGGATTTCAAATGAAAGACTGTTTACGTAGCGAAGTAGCGAACGTTTAGAATGTATTCTAGAGGTACTTGGATCTAGCTGGAGTCCTCTAGACATGTAACAGGACGAACGGTGACCATGTGCCAGGACCGTCTATGCTTTTCCTTTTCCTTCGGCGCTATGCACGTCTGCATGACAGGGCTAGCACCTCGAGGTACTCCATACCAGGGAAGTTGTCCTTAAAGCCGTCATATTGTTTTTTATAAAACGTGCTCGGTGTATTATTCAAAACTAACTTGCAGTCGGCACGAATTGTCATCAAGACGTCTGCTATGTGGAGTGGAAGAGCCACTGGATATGAAATGTATTTTTTTATTGCTAGAGGGGTGGGACTAAGTCCCTTGTACTGCGGCCACTTCTGGCCTATTGTACCATCCCCAGCTGATAGGTGAGGGTGACTGTGGAGCAATTGGTGGAATGAAGAAGGGAAACCGAAGTACTCGGAGAAAACCTGCCCGAGCGCCACTTTGTCCACCACAAATCCCACTTGACCGGACCCCGGATCGAACCCGGGCCGCCGCGGTGGGAAGCCAGCGACTAACCGCTTGAGCTATGGCGCGGCCCTTATGAAATGTAAATATTAACTTTTTTTTGTCCTTCCCTTTCTTGAAGTAGGTACGTGGGTTTATGAGATCATTGTGCTGTCCTGTCAGTGTGTTTTCTATATTCCCCCCTTTCCAAATTTTCAGCCAGTCGGCCGATTTCCGGTATTAGGGTTATGCCAGCTAATGAAGTGGAAGTTTGAAAGTTGAAACGGATATAGGACATGAACGTACCATACATTGTAATGCAATAACTTTTCACGTCCACAAGTACAAACATGGCGATGTAGCGAAACGTTGTGGTTATGCCACACAAATTCAGTGTAGACAGAATGCACGCGTGGGTAGCAATTTCGTTACAGAATAAAATAACACATGAGTAATAATTGTTAACAGATCATGTTCGCGTGTAAATAATTTTACTCCGAATATCTCTTGATTCCCGAATAATGTAAACTGTTTTACTACGAAATACAAACATTTAATTGGATTAGATGACGCTTTACTGTGCGATTCCGAAAAGACTTCAGTTCTGTCTCCCTTTTCCATTCACTTGTGCCACTCAGGAACATCAGGGGGTTGCAACCACCCTCAAGACGTGATGTCGAGCTGTTGGAATCTTTCCAGCCCTTGAGAGAACACTGTCGAGCTCTTAGATATGGCTGTCGGATCAAGTATACCGCGAGGTTTCACTATAGTGCGTTTCATATGAACAGTCACGCAGTTGGTGTCCTCCCTATGCTCGTGTAAAAATTATTTATATTTGTTTAAACCTGATAAGGATTTCTGATACCGTTAAGATCGTATGCTTTCCTCCTATCTTAGTTTTATTAATCTCTGTAGTTGAGAAAGCGTAGTTAAATTACCTACAAACTAAATTAACGCCCACAGTATGTCCAACGTGATCTTTTATCAGGGTGAATTTCTCCCAAAACTCTTGTTTCATTTTCTTACGATGTACGTACCCATCCTGTTTAACTTCCTGTTCCTTATATATTTTTTTTGATTGATTGGTGCTGTTGAATGTGCTGTGGTGTGCTAATGTGTAAGTGAATGCTTTAAGTAATATAGTGTATTGTATGAGCTAACATTGCAGCAGTCTTTTTCAGTTATCGTCAGCGTAATTGAGATCATGCATGTCACTATTTTAAACGTTGTTAGCCTTAAATCAGGGCAGGATCATAGAAAAAAAACGTTAACTCACTGTGTCTAGTTTATATTTTTATCGTATGAAATTTCGGTAAATTTGTTGAAAGGTTGCCGCTCTGTATTTCTTGTAGTGCAGTATACCGAGAGTCACACGAACACCGGTCACTTAGTATAACTTGCTGGTTCCAGTGCAGTTTCTTATGAATAGTAACGATGTGTGAGCTAATTATTTATATATATTTATTTTCCAGGGCCGTTCTCGCAGCCTGACGCACCTGGACTGTCTGGACTCCAACGATCTGACCCCTGACGTCAACATGACCACCGACACAGCTGATCGGCTTATTGTCCCTTGTACAGAGCAGCCGCGCGTGCGCAGACACAAATTGGCGCGCTCTCAGGTAACAAACAGAAAGTTAATATTTTCAGGCAATGCTGATGTCATAGCTGTAGACACTCCAGTCGTCTTTACTCCCCACCCCGACAGAATAAGTGCCCTATATTCCTGGGAGATAGGGAGCACCTCACAAACAGAGTCGATCTTGTTGGCAAATAGTTCTCCGACGTTTCGGTCGGTCTTCTGGGTTATATCATGCCTCATGCCAAATTATTTTAAGTATTAGTGAACAAAATACAATGTGGAGCCTCTATCGCTCAGTCGGCATACCGATGAATTAGGGGCTGGGTGGCCGCCAATCGTAGTTCGATTCCTGGCAGGCGAAAGAGATTTTTGTATTTTGTGCATCGCCCATATCGGCACTATGACCCACCCAGCCCCCTATCCAATGTGTACCACGTGTTCTTTCTTTGAGGTAAACCGGCAGGAGCGTGAAATTGACCGCTCCCATCTAGTGCTGAGTTTAAGAATAAGTGGATTTCTGCTTACACTCCCCCATACGTCTTCATGGCATAGTGCTTACTTAATTAAAAACAGAACTTTACCTTTATTTAGTTAGTTATTGGAGAGGGTGGGTTTCCCCATGCACTTAGACCAGTATTGGTCCATTGTGCTTCCTTCTATGATATTCTACCAGTCTCTATACCCTACCGATACTGGTGCGTACCATCAGTCCCGACCGAGCCAGCAAGTTCGGCCTCTACTGGCTTAGCGGTATCTTTAATGCTTCCCCCATCTACCAGAGGCGTTAGAGACTACTGTTGGGCGGGAAATGTCCTGAATTTTGCTCAGTGGCCTCCTTTGGAGACATGAGGTTCTTTTACGTCCCGTAAAGCTACGACACGGGACCCACGGCTTAAAGTCCCTCCAGGAGGACTTGTTCCCTGAATTTTTCCGCCCTTAAAAATTCCACGACCTCCGCCGGGTTTGAACCCGCGTACTTTGAGTCACGAGGTGGGAACGTTACCCCTAGACTACGGAGGCCGCTAACTAAGTTACAATAATTTCTCAACTAAACACTGCTTCTGTCGTTAGTCTGCTTTTAGTAAATCCATAATCCGATACACACAAGCATATACCCTCGCCAGTTGATATGCCTGTTTGCCTCCCGCCAGTTTCTGTTCAGTTGATTGTAGCTCTTGTCATATAGGAAGCACGCCGATTGCTGTGAGTTACACTCGTTATGACGTCATAACAGAACGTTATAACCAAATTAGAAATCCCTGTAGAAATGGGCGTTTTACTTCGAATGAAGTTTCATGAGTGTTTTTCACGTTACGAGTTATTGCATTTTCTTATTCGTTCCTATTAGAGCTGTGATCCGTTTGAACAAAATACGTGTACATTAAATAAAGGAATGATGATGAGATTTTGTCTGCCCTACTGTGTATCTCTTCTAAACTGTTGAACGTATTTATATACAGCTTCACCCTAAAAATTATCTGGCCAACTTGATTATGGTGCGTACCGACCTGTTACGGCTTCATAAAAATACTCCGTGGGCTGTAGTCCGCAAGCGAATTATACCGATCGAGCGACCGCCGCGTATCAGCTAAGTTAGTGTCAACTTTTGCGGATAGAGGGTGTCACATGGTGAGCGCACCGGACCCCACGGCCGTTAATCTCGGTTTTCTAGACCCGAGTCGCTACTTTCTTGATATATCTCCTCAGTTATCACGGCTTCTTGAAGTCAAATTAAAATTGAAGGTATCTCAGAAAGTGCTTTGTGATACTAAACTCAGTGAATAACAGACTGCGGAGGTAATTAAAATTTAGAACGTGTATTTGAAGTATATTTCGATATGGTGAGTTTATAAAGAAATAAAGGAAAAATCATTTGTAACTCTATTCAGTTATAAATTTTGAGGTTATCACGGCGGTTACTGTTAAGATTACAGCCTTTTGGGTTGTATCAGTGTTGTGTTGTTGGCGGATACCGACGTTTAGGAAGAACATGCCGCCTCCATCTTCGGTACTGACCTGGATTTAGTTACTTTATAATAAAAAAGTACTTTACAACAATAAATTTGTACATTCAATAAAGGAACTTCAATTTAAATGAGATATCTTAAATAACGGAGCTTTATTGAATACACTTTTCCGCTCTTGTTCCAGTGCTAGCGTAGTGATTGTATTGACATTTTCATCATGATTCACTGAAAACAATGTACGAAAGAAGAACAGAAGATACGTGCTTCATTTTGTCTCCTGATAGAAATACAACAGATATGACGCATGTAGCTGTGAACAGAATTCATAAAGTTTGCTTTCCCTTTTAAAATTTTCCAGTCAAGCAGACATGCTTCTGCTATTGTAGTTATTCTGCACTATCTTTATGGAAAAAAATATTACTTAAATACGGATTAGTTATGTTAATTTTATCTGAAATAACCACAAAATTTCTCTCAGTCGCCATGATTTTGATTGTTGACATGAAAATCAGTATTTCATACGAAGTGTATGCAAGTTTATTGTTACATCTCCGTACCAAATTTCACATTCCTAGATCCAGTGATTCATTAGTCATCACCGTCAAACCCAAAGCTATAGAAAATGTTCGCACGACTCCCATGTTGTTTTTCTACATTCAGCAAAAATATTACCTTAAGACAGGTTTCGTGTTTTCCAAGACATTCCCATACTTCATTTCCGGACATCAAAGATTCCCATATTCGCACGTCCTCCATGTTATTATTACTAAATTGTAGATATCAGAAATTGCGGGCTAGTATTAATTATAGTAATGTTTCTAAGAAAGTTTGCGAAAATTGGCCAATTTGTTCAGAAGCTTATAGGTACACAGGTACACAGCTTGGTAATCTGAAGCCAGCATTTCTTGTAAGGAAAGCAGGCTAAGATTGAAACGTCTGTATTTCCGTTCGGGATAATGAAAACCAGCCTATATGTCTGTTAAATGTTTAAACAATTCCTTGCCTGAAGTGTTCACAAATATAAAACTAGAATCACATACTTCTTTTGGCTTATTTTGGACTTCACCCATCGTCTGGTATGTAAAATACCTGAAGACGGAGACAGATCCAGTCTCCGAAACGTCGTGGTTTTTTGTCTTTTACATACCAGACGATGGGTGAAGTCCAAAATAAGCCAAAAGAAGTACGGTATACACCATCGTCAGAATCCTTTCAAGTCAACCTAGAATCACATAAATCAGAAGTCTTCCAAAGGAATTAGCTGCAATTTTTATACTTACGTGTTATATTGATATTCTGCCAATAATACATGGTGATCGCATACACTTCCATTCGAACTACATTTTTATTTCATATTTCAAAATGTTATGCTTTGCGATATCCATTTCACTCGGAGCAATTTCGTCATTTTGTTCTCCTTACTTTGAATGAGAGCATGCACACGAGCGCATACGAGTACTCTCTGACAGCATTGCTGGTCCCTGGCAGCTCGTGGCAGGACACGCGCATGCGTGTCCCCGTATCACAGCATATTTCTCTACACAAGAAGTGTAATTACGCACAAAGCAACCGTATTTATATTATGCTTCGCCACTGGACTTTATCGTGTCTAATGTCAGAAGTCGGACGCTCTGTTACCAGCCAGGCTCTATTCGTTACCATCCACGGGGCGGCATTTCTGCAGTTAACGCAAATAAAATGGCGGTGTCTCGGTTACTGTCCGCATTATCCGTGCTTACGTGTCTCTTACACTCACGCATATCGTCTCCTATCCTCAGCAATAATAGAGGTTTCCGTCCCGCAATTTTTATCCTGTTTGATTTATGCCGTCATGTAGACCAACAAGGATGGATTATTGTTGCTCAGAGCAATAAATTTAAAGTTACGGGCAAACATTAAATGGGGAAAGAAATGAATAACCCTATTTTATTTTACTTCAGTACCTCACCTTTCATCGACATGAGGGTAAAGTAAAAAAAGTTAAAGGTATCCCTGTAACAGGCCTCGGAGGCCCATAGGGCTGTGAGACGCTGAGGGTCCCACATTATCTAGACAATCTGTTCACAGAGGCAGTAAGGTTGTCAGCCTTACGCGCCGGCCGCCCTTTAACCCCCAGGAAGATTCCTGGTACTCATTTCTGTTAGAGGCCATAGTGCGGCTGGAAGGATAGGTCAATTGAAAAATCCACCTCTTCGAGACTCGAACCCGCGACCTTCCGGCTTGTAGCATAGTGCCTCAACCAGCTACGCTACCTCGTGCCCTATCGGCATGTTACAACAAGAGTAAAAATGTGTACCACAGTAGAATACATGCAGGCTAATCTCCAAATGAGGGTAACACCTCCCCCACATTGGAGATTTTTCCCACGTCACTGACCCCCCTATATGCCTGTTCATACAAATATATTGTATCCACTTCTGGTCTCAAAAATGGTTTCTCCTTCCCAGTTTTTCCGTCCAAAAGTATGTATGCATTTGTTACCTCCCCCATGAATGCTGTATTCCCAGCCCATCTCACCGTCCTTAAACTGAGCATCGGATGTGTAGTCATTAATCTGAATTACGGGGCTCTCCACTGTACAAATGTCTCCAGCCTTCCGTCACTTCCTCTTAAATTTAATATTCTCATCGCCTTGTACGCCAATGTCTGCATTTTTAAACAGCCAGTTAAGTAATTGCCCCGCCAGCAAGGACCGCAGCTTGACTCGTAACACGGAACTTCCACTCGCCCGTTACCGTGGCATTCGAATCTCTGCTATCGAGAAGGACGCCTAGGGGCTTGGCAATGTCCCAAAGCTGGTTTGGCCCTGATGGTGAAGAAAGTCAAGACAAGTTCCTACCAGAGAACAGAGTCATAATTGCCTCGTAGATGGAAGCTATGGTTTGCACAGTCAAGCGAAATGCAAATGCTTTAAGTTAACGTAATTCACTAGCCATACGAATAAAATTCTACACGGGCGCTGCCGTCACTTGTTCTTTTCGAAGAATGGAAACATATGACTGCGAGGGTGTGACCCTTCACTCCTTTCTGTTTATTTTTTATTTCTTTCATACTGAAATGTTATTTTATTTCT